TACACAAAGAACTAACACAAATTTTTTTCTCCCGTCAGGGGTTGCCTCAGAACAAAGCAGCCCTGTTCAGCCTGGTGATGAGCTATTGCAAGTGCACACAACTGTCATGCAGGGACTCACCCGTTTTGAAGCTTGGAATATCATCAAGGCATTACCCGATGGGCCTATCACTGCTATCATCAAGCGGAAAAATCCAAGTCCTGCTGCTGCCAAATCAGCTGAAATTTTGCAAGGAGAGGAATAAAACTGCTGCCAATATTAAAAAAAAAACTAAACAAAAAACGTTTCATTAATGAAAACTGTTTGCCAGCACAGCACAGATATTGTGGAAGTGCGGATGATTGCCAGTTACAGATGTCTTTGGAATCTCTTGAGCAAATTTTGCAGTATGAAGAGATGTGCATAAAAAGCTCCCAGTTCTTATTACAATATTCATAAGCAGCTGTTGCAAAGTGCACAATGGTAAAACATGGTTCTGTTAATAATATAATGAATGTAATAAAATGTGTGACGATCACAGCGCTCTCTAGCTTATGTAAATGAACTTGGTGATGATGCTGACTGGAGTGGACAGTTTTCTTAAGCATCAAATTTAATGCAAATCAGAAACATCTGGGAAGTCCGGGGCAGATTTTCATCCCTGCTTCAGTCATTTGGCACTAACTCTTGCTTCACTCCTTCAGTAGAGGAGACAGAGAAGGAGGCAGCGCAAGCTGAGGGAGTGGTCAAATCCAAGTTGGCCTGTCTAAGCACAAAAAAGCCAGGACAGATCAGTAGGAAACAGGTCCTGACTTGACAAATGCTCCACTAGCCTAACACTGACAGAGGCACCTCTGCTGCTTCCTAAGCAAGCAGCTATTTACTTGATTTAAGGGAAGAAAGGATATGAGTCTGGGGCTTCCATAGGGCAGGGAGGGATCATGGCTGAGCTTCACTTGACCTTCCATTGCTCTGAACTCCTTGAACTGTACTGCAGCCTTAACTCACACAACAGCTGTACTCTGTAAATCAGGGAGTAATTTCCTGAAGCCCTCTGCTTGGACCGTTTGGAGCATTAAGCCCACAATTTCCCCTAGGAGAGTTGCCATTAGTTTGAATGCAAATTACATATATGCACTGGAAAAAATCCTTAGCACAATTGATTCAAGCCTTGCAATACCCTTCACATTGCATTGTGAATTTAGGCCATCCCAAGGCTATAGTAATAAGGACATTTAAAACCAGTTTTTATCATCTGAATACATAGTGTATGTAATTAATGTTTAATGACACTGCAGTATTATTTAGAAGGAAGCTACCAATGATAGATCACAGTATTTAGTGCTCCTGAAAACAATCATTTACACTGAAAACAAAAATAGCTTTGGGAAAGATATTCAAGACTCCATACAAAAGGCTCCATATTCAAGGCCATTTTCAGGCTCCATGTAACAGGTGGCATAATATAGCTTTATGGTCAAGGTTAGTGATCACAGCAAAGATCTGACCTGTCTCCAAAACCTGGAGAGATAATACCCCGAAACATCTTACCTTGATCCCCTCCATAGATTTCTACCACTTACTTCTAAATTTATAATTAAGAGGAAGTTATTAATGCAAATAAAACTTACTTGCTTTATTTAATTCTTGCACCTAAACTAAAAGACATTGAGGAACAGATTCTATAATTTCTGCTACTTCAGATAGTCAATGAATGTGCAGTCAAGCTGAATGACAAAAATATTTAATATGCTAATGATTCGTTTCTGTTTGTGTCAACAGAAGTAGTTCGCAGAAACAATAAGCATGCATTATGCCACTGATACAAATCTTAGTCCAGTGTTAACAGGTGTTCTTGTGTACAATAGTCTTAAACATAGAAAGTTGTTCTACATTTTAACAGGAACAAATCAGCTGCCAAGTTTTCAGGATGAATCTTCTACAGCATACATTGTTAGATGCAGGCATGCAATCTTATCAGAGATGTAAGTCATTGCTCAGTTTTGGAAGACAATACCACTGTGCCTTGTGGTCCTTACGGTCCCCTCTGATTTGTTTCACTAACATAGGCATGCATGTACCATTAAGAACAAATTAGTATCTACACCAGGACTCCCACAGGCCAGCCAAGTGATTTTATCTGCTTTGCAAAGCCAGAACATCTGCAGTGGAGGCAAGCAGTAGCCAGGCTGGAAGTGTGTCAATAGCAATTCAGTAGTGGGGAAACTGTCAGTGACCAGGCTATAAGCAGCAGCCCACCTTTGGAGCAAGCTGCATCAGTCTGGCATGCAGCTCCTAAAAGACTGCTGAGGCCTGATCTACAGGCAATGATGAACCTGAAAAGAGGAGTCCTGACACACACAGAAAATGAAAAATTAGTTTTCTTCACTCAAATGATAAATTTAGTAGCAGCAAGAAAAATGACATGTAATTCAAGAGGCAAACCAATCTGTATACTAATATGTCCATATACTAATGCATATACTAATTTTTGCCCATAACTTTATCTTTGGTTTTTAATCAAACTCAGCTTTGAAATGAACAGCAGAGTACTTTTTAAGATTTTTTTAAAGCTCTCGTTATCTCTCTTCGAAGCTTCAACTATTCAGCAAAGCGCCTCAGGGGAAAATTAGGAACAACAGTCAAAAACTCCTAGAAGGCTCCAGACTGGCTATAAGGAAAAACTTCTTCATGGTTCATGTGATCAGACTCTGGAATGGACTCAGGCACCTGCCCTGGAGATCTTCAAAAGGAGACTGGATGCACACCTTGCTGGGCTTATTTAACCCCAGCAGTCTTTCCCACCCAGAGCAGGGGGGGCGGGACCTGATGATCTCACAAGGCCCCTTCCAGCCCTAAACTTCTGTGAATATAATTGGAGTTCTAAGCAAATGTCATTCCACTGTGCAAATATAGCATATCTAGGATTTTTAACCCACTCATCTGTACATATGCCAGAGGAAATACAGGAATAAATGGCCATTTTAGCATCTGTTCGGACCCTGAGTTCCTTGGTTGTGATAGGGTTAGATTTTGTAAAAACCTGGTGTAATGTCTTAGTGTCGGTTTTCACAATCTTTTGCAATACAGAAATGGAGAAATTGTATTAGATATAGTCCTGTGCTAGGTATCCTCCATCAAAAGCAACTTCAGCCATTAAACAGTTTCTTCACTAGAAATTACAGCTTCATTTAGAGAAAGTAAAAGCTGACACAAACACCCCCCACCAAAATCTTCTTTTCACCTCCCCTCTTGCAGTCATTGTTATTTTTCAGGTTATTGTGTCTACACATTTCCTGGTCCTGAGATCAAAAGCAGAAGTGACAATGTACTGGGTAACAGCAGTATGTCTCAGCAACCCCAATCTACCCCCAAAGCAGGAAGAGCCAAAAACACCTTACAAAAGAGCTGTACTGTGAAATTTCCAGCCCTAATTTGGCAGTTTGTAGAGCAGTTCTGTGACATGCAGAATGCTCTTAATTCTTGTTGGACTGTGTATGCCCCAAATCCTATAAAAGTAATCCTTAAATTGCTTAAATAAGGTACATGGCCCTACAATTTTGCCTGAGTAGATTAATGAACACTAACCATTGTCATCACAAGGATTATTTACAGAAGTAAAAGCTGTAGGACCAGTCCTAAGATTTAAATGTGCCCTTAAACTTTTGGGTGCTCAAGCCAACAACGGTTCAAGTCCTGCCAAGATTTGTCCAGGTGCTCAACTGGATTTGCAATGAGTAGCTCTACTGACTGCTCATGGTATGTACAACTAAGCATGTGGATAAGCCCACAAGGATTTTGGGCCCCACATCTCTCACAAAGTTGTTCTTCCTAAGTACAGACAGCAGCAGTTTACATTGAAAACTAGAACCACACAACAGATGAAGGACCCAATCCTGAAAGACATTGACGGTCCACAGCTCTCACTAAAAAGCTGTGCTCAAGTGCTGTGAGTGAAGGGCTCTCTCAGCTTCACAGGCTGGGCTCAAGAGCCAAGGGGGAATGAAGAAATTCTGTGAAGTTCACAGCTCCTGTGAGCCTTGTCAGAGGTGATGGGAACTGAGCAGAAAAGTAGGACCAGCCTTAAAGGAAAATTAAACAGAACCAACCAAAAAGTGTAACAGAAAATATTTATTTTACTATGTGTACACTGACATGTTTTATAAACTTCACATGTACAAGAGACTACTTAAAAAAATTCATCCCTGGAAATCTAATTACAAGGATGAAAAACGATAGCAGGAAGTTCTGTATGTAAGCCTATGAACCACACTACACCCAGTACATTTAACAAGCTTAAGGACTGAACCTGAAATATAGTTAAATAAATAGTAAAAGTAGCAGCATAATCACAGTGTGGATTTACATTTCCAACTCAACAATCATAAATGATCATTTTCTTTTATAAAAGGGCCAAGAATAATGTGTCAATTATAACAGCTCCTGACATTCTCCAAATTATCAGCCATGTTGTAAAGGTGTACCTATCACTGCACACTACATCGGAGGCTGATCTAAGATAAGCAAGGAGGTGAGTCAGGCTGGGGAACAGACACAAAGCACATCCCATTTTTATGACAAATCAAAACTTGTCCACCAAAAAGATGATTCACATGTTAAAAAACACCTCCAGTCAGGGACTGGAAAACTGTTCAGATTCCTGATTATTTCAGATGGGATTAGAAAAATGACAGGTAAAGTGCTTAAAACTTCTTTATTGCCATTGTGTCAGTGCAGTTTGGTTTATGCATTGTATTTTTGGAGCGTGCATGAGAGAAAAGGTGGTAAATGAGAAGTACATTAATCTTGGAAAAGTGAGAAAGAGCAAGCATCAAGAAAAACTATTAAATCCCTTAAGCTGTTGAGGAAGTGACAGTGTGACTATAGTGATAAAAGTGACTTTATTATCCATAGCACAGATTCATCGATAACACAGAAAACTTAAAAAATAAGTTTGCCATGTTATTAATGAATCAGTGTAATGGATAATAAAGAAAGTAACCCGTTCTTAATTAAAGGGGTCTGCAACCCCAAAGATGTGAGCATCACTGCTTTCTGACAGTTTGTACGTCAACATTTTTTGGTACAGAGTGGGTGATAAAGAGGCCAACTCAGCTCTGACCTGTGTGAATTGGTTTAGAATAGTAAGTCCTAATTCAGAAAAATACTCAAGCACTGAAGTCAGTGGGAAACAAAATTAAAATGTCTAGAATGAATTAAGATCTCACCTCACCTACCCTTTTAACTCTGGGCTTGACCATTTTCTGGCTTGGTTCCATTGTAATGTCTTAGTAGCTATAGCAAAGGAGCTAGCTCTCGCCTTAGAAAGAGTACAGCTTCTTGATTCTTGATCTGACTTAAACTGGTACAACACTGATTTTAACAGTCTCCCCTGACATGCACTGAGAGAGCAATCACAAGGAATTTGGAAGTGCACACACTCCCTCTGGAGGGGGAGAGCAGAACTGTTTCCAGAAGACTGCCAGCTTCTGTTTTAAGAGAAATATAAAAAAAAGAATTGATATTACAAAGCTTCTCAGATAGAAAGACAGGCAGAATATGCCATATTAAAAACTGACTTGAGACAAGGCACTTCTCCCAATTCAGCTTTCCAACAACATATCTTTGCTGTTAGAAAAGCATCACATGAGTTTCTACTTCTACCTTTTCCACCTTCACCTAATATGTCAGACCATGGATCATTTGCTCTTAACCTCCCCCTTCTATGCTCCAGCAGCGAGATTAGACTTTCCATGCCCATCAAGCTTTTAGCGTCTTTATAGCTTTGGTCAGATTGCTATAAAATCCAACCATGCTGCTTGGAAAGAACGAGTCCACCACAGTCTGAGGAAGGTAGCCACCAAGATCAGTCTGAAAGAAACTGAGGAGCTGGGTCTTGTCTGGTTCCCTGAGAAAACAACACACAAGTACAAGTAATTTTATTAGTGAGGGGTATAATACAGCAAGGCCTTGCTAGCAAGTTTTGTATTTGGGCATGTATTTATCTGTGCATAAATATTGCTACGTGCTTTCCACTGAAAAGGCCAAGTGCAAGCTTCCCTATTACAGCCCAACATACCCTTTATCTGCCTCTACAAAAAGAGATGGTCAGTTTTTCAGTTAATTTAGGCCCCAGCTCAGCCCAGACATATAAACTACTTCACTGAAGTCAATGGCATTACTCATATACTGTAAATGAAGCATATGCTTATTCATTGCTTGAATTATGGTCTTAATTCTTGGCTTCTCCATTCAGAATATCAACAAGGATTCCCACAATAACGACAGTTTCTATAATGTTAGTAAGTAACCACTAGGAAATTAAGAGAGACTAATTCACTTTGCCTAAGGCGTTGAATACCACTCGTTTGTAATGACATGACAACTAGCTTTGACTATATATGAACCAATGACTGCCAAAGCATTCTTAGTCAGACAACGCATTCACATATTGGACACGAAGTGAACTACAGCACATGTAAGAACCTTTCTTACCCTGGAACAGGTATACAGAAACAGCCACATGGATAATTAAACCCTCTCACGTAACTGGGCTGTGGAGGACAGAGCGCATGCTCTATATTGGTTGCTGCAAAACAAACAAACAAACAAAAAAAACACATTCAAGAAAAAAGACACACTTTCTTTGGTAAATGCCACAAGCCGAACAGCTTTCTACTGGGAAAGATAATCAGTGGTTCTTGAGACTGAGGTTCTTTGGTCTGTGATTTGTAAGAGGCCAGATTAAAATTATGACAACCACTTCTGCCCAGTCTGAGTCAAAGGACTGTGCATACTTTAGGAGTGTTTAATACTTTATGTACTTACAGCAAAGGACATTGTGAGTTATTCATTGGGCTGGTACACACCATGTTTGAAAGATAACTCAAGCTGTTTGCAATAAGTATATATCACACAGGTATGGTATATACCACTCTTTGGAGTGGTATAAACCTTTTGTACCAGTACCAGTATATAGATTTCTGGCTTATATCCAAACTAGATAAGATGCCATATCAACAACATTTGCTTAAGACACAATGACATAAGTAAATGAAGGCAAAGATGAACAGATTAATATAGTTCCAGCAGCTACAAGCTGCTGTTACCACCTCAAGGAAAACTAGTCACTGATGGGCTCTATAGGTCATCTTTTTTCACTAGTTATAGTTAAAACAAAACGTGACAGCTTTGCAATGTCCTATAAAATGCTAAGATATAATCTGATTTAAGGGACTCTTCTGAGATATTTCTATACGGTCTAAAAATCTAAGTGTAATACTAACTGAACTATCTATTCATTCTCCAAAGATGTCATGACTAGCGAATGGTGTAACAACTTACCAGAGTATAAATGGTGCTGGTATTTTATATAGAAATAATAATATAATTTAGCACTGACTTTGTTACTGCATCTTCTGACCAATAATTTTGCATCAAAAAATATTGAGGCATTTCTTACAAAAAAAAAAAAAAAAAAAAATCATTGACGTTCACTAACTTGCTGCTCAGAAAGAGACTATAATGGGAATTAAACCATCTTACCAGTGGATGCTAGAGTCCCATCTTCATACTGCTTTGTTAGAACCACATCTACAAAGTCTCTTGGAGAAATAAGCCTCATGAGAGCTGATGGGGTAGTAGTTCTGCATATAGAGACAGTCTAGAAAATTGAAAATAGCGTTATCTCACTTTATGCCTGTCTTTTCTTTAATACAACAGTGAGTCACATAGGCTACGTCCAGATAAGCGCAGGCGTTGGTTTCCCCAGGGACAAGTAGCAACAGGACACCTCATGCCACTGCTACTTCTCCCTGGGGAACACCCGTGCCACACACACTTTGGCACACACCAGGTTACCCTGGATCAGGTAGGGGAGGCTGAGGCCAGCAACTGTGCTGGCCCCAAAAGCCTTATCATGGGTCCCGGGGGCAGACACACCAAGAAGCCTGGCCAGCAGCTGGAGTGTGGCTCGGGCCAGCCAGGCTCTGGTTTTGGGCAGTGCACGCTGCTGCCACCCCGGTTTTTTTTTGGTGTGGGGTTTTTTTACCCTGAGATCTCCCAGGGTCAAGAAAACCCCCTCACACTGCAAAGTAGCAGTGTGGATAATGCCTGCACGTGTGGTGCGAGGCACTGCAGATGGGCTTGCAGCACCACATACCACATGTTTACGCTCATCTGGATGCGGCCACAGACACCTTTAGTGACACTCAGTTGACATGCAGTGCCTTTGATTTCAATGACATGACTTGCTATTCAGCATGAGTAAAGTTATCACAATCAAACGCTGAGTCTTGGTTCAAGAGCAGTTTTGATAGGAATGATCTTTTAGAAAAGTATCACAAATACACTCATGAAGACTGTTACTTAACACACTTCTATTGATGACATCTCTTTTAGAGAACTAATAAATTTAGTAACTTAAACAGCAACAACACCGCTTCGTTATTTCAAAAAGAAATAAATAAAACCATCTGTTTAATGTCAGCTATCATTACAGGTACTTTTGTTAACCACGATTATAAAGGCTTGGGAGAATTGACATTATAAAACCATACAGACCTGGAGTCAGGCTATAACGGGGGTGGGCAATTATTCCAGGTGGAGGGCCACTTACCCAGTTTTGGCAAGCTGTCGAGGGCTGCATGGGTAGCCCTGCCCCTTGACAGGTGCCCCGCCCCCTGGTCACCATCTTGGGACCAATGTCCCAATGTCTTGGGACCAATGTCCCACGGCCAGCACCAGTGGGGCACAGAGCAGGGCGCAGGCTGGCAGGGGTCTGTGGAGCTGGGCTGCACCAGTAGGGAGAGGGGGGAGCTGGCCCGGCTCCATAAAGCCCCTGCTGGCCAGGGGTCTGTACCTCTGCCGCCCTGCTCTGGGACCTGCTGGTGCTGGCTCTGGGCCACCGCTGCAAGTCCTGTGCTCCCGCGCCCGCTCACTCCCAGTGCACCCCCAGCCCTGAGGTACAGGTGGGGGGCAGCGCACAGCCCCAACCCCCTGCTCGCCCACAGGGAAGGAGCTGGTGCTGAGCATGGGGAAAAGCAGCCCCTCCTCCGCCCCCTGAGCCGCTCTCCCTGCTGCAGCCACTTGCAGCCTGTGCAGGGCTGTCCTGAGCAGGCACAGGCAGCCCCATGTAGACTGCGAGCGGCCGGAGCCCCCCGCCCCCTTTCCCCCACACTCAGCACTGGCTTGTAACCCATCCCCGCAGCCAGCCTGGGCCCCACGAGGGCTCCAGGCTTGCCTGCTGGGGCTGTGCTGGGGCGGGAGCAGCTGCGGCTCCCCCACTTGCCACACCAGGCAGTGTTTGCTGCTGCTGCCCGCCCGGAGCTCATGCACTGGGCTGCAGAGAGGTGGTGGTGGCTGCCTCACCACAGCCTACCATGGTGCGAGCTCCAGGCGGGCAGCAGCGGCAAACACTGCCCAGCGTGGCATGCAGGGGGGCCGCAGATGCTGCCACCGTGGCACAGCCCCGACGGGCAAGACCGGGGGGAAAAGTGGCCCCTTGCCCACCCCATGCCTGGCGCCCCGCGCTGCAGCCGCTCGCAGCCCCCGTGGGGCTGCCTGTGCTGCTCAGGACAGCCCCACACGGGCTGTGAGCAGCTGCAGCAGGGAGTGCAGGCCACAGGGCAGGGCAAGGGAGGGGCCACTTTTCCCCATGCTCTACACCAGCTCCTTCCCTTCCCTTCCCTGCCCTTCCCCACACCCACCCTTACCTGAGCTTCCCACTTCCGGGAAACCACCTGGTCCTTGCTGGGGCTTCAGGCTGTGGGGGAAGGGCTGGACAGGCCCTGCTGTTGCAGGAGCCTGCAGAGGATTCCCCTGGGTCCTACTGCTCCTGGCTCCTGTCATTTTTAACAGGAACCAAGGACAGATACATTTCAATTTCAAAATTTTTTAGGGGCCCCGTGGGCTGGATCTGGCCTGTGGACCGTATTTTGCCCACCCACCCCTGGGCTATTATGTCAAAAAATTAGAATGGTTTTTAAAAGTATGCATTATTTATCATATTTCACTACAACAGTTCCACTCAAAGAGGCTTTCAGTGTCAGGTCAAGACTTGATAACATATTTAATCGACAAACTCAAAAGGAGCACGATTTTGGGCAACAGGTTCAAAATAAACGGTTTCCAGAAGCTATTCAATGCTCTTCGCGGTTCTGCAGCTGCAAAACTGTCCTGAAGCTACCTGCTTCCACGGGACCCAATTCTGACCCTACTCCAGTCCAAGGACATTTAACCATAGCGTCCTCGTCACTTTCGTGGCACTTACGTCACTGATGGTTTCAATAACGTCAAACCCCGTCACATTCGGGTCCCAGGTCGGTCTGAGCCCGTTGGCGACGGGTTTCAGGAGCTCCCAGACGTTCGCAGGACTTGCCGGCACTATTCCTTCGCCCTTGTACCTGCAGCAGAAAGGAGCTGAAGTCACCTCTGCATCTCCGTCACCCTGAAACCCCCCCAAGGAAAACACCGGGAGCTGGAGTGCCTGGAGGAGGGTTCAGCACTCGCGGCCCCCCCCCTGCGCACAGCAAGCAACCGCACACTCACAGGTTGCCGGGGAACTCGTCCGAGGGTCTCCAGGACACGGCAACGTCGCTCTGGGGGAACGGAGAAAGCCTTCAGGTGTGGAGCTGCGCCCACGCTGCCCTCCCCGCTCTCCTGCCAAGGGCCCGAGCGTCCAGGCAGGGGAGGCTGCTCCTCCCTGGCCGAGATGCCCCCTGCCCTGGGCCGGGCGGCACAGCCTCAGTCCCCAGGTGCAAGGAGGGAAACTGGGCCCCTCCCTCCCGGCCCGCCGCCTCACCGTGCG